TATTTCATAAAATAATCTGTTGTTAAATTATTTTTAAAAAATATTAGTGGTTTCAAGGTTTCAAATGAACACTTTTTCATTTTGTTCGAACTAATAGTCATGGAAATAAAAATCCTAGTAAGTTAATCTTCGTGTTCCGCTACATGTGTGAGCCACTGTATATTGTTCCTAAACCTCCTTCAACTTTCAGAAATATGTATCGAATTTCTTGCATTCTTGTATTAGATTATCGATATTTTTATTTTCGTTAGACCATTCAGCTCCATACGTAATCCATCGCAGTATTCATTTTTTTTTTACAAACGATACATGAACTATAATCTCGAGTATTCGAGTCTTGGGATCTATAATTTCTTTAATCATCTTTTTGAGTTTCATTTTATAAAATTCTGTGTTAACATTATCATTATTGTTATGCATTTCTTTATTATTTATATGAGATTAAATTTAATTTTATACGTGATTCATTATTTGATAAATTGTAATTCTCCATCAACACAGAAGATTATACTATAATCTAAACGCAGTCTAATGTTTGCCAATGAAATAATGTGCTAGGATCAAAAACAACACTTGTTTTTTCGTTATCTAAGAGGTGAGTTTTGTTTAATATGATACTGTATATTCTAAATACATAAAAGTAGAAATTTGATAAGATAAAAGGATTTCTAGCTGTTGCGGATCATGTTTTGGCTCTTGTTAATTTATTGAGCAAAGTAGTTACCATCTTCTTTTTTTTACTTCGTTGGAAGCATTTCATCATGAATTTGTAGTTTGCTTGTAGGACACTCGAAATGTTTCTCTTTGATTTCATACCGTTTACTAAAATCAGAGTCTGTTTTGCATCCCAAAAAAAGCAATAAAATTAATAAAGACATACAAATTGACCTTAATATATATAAACTGGATTCGGTGGATGTGTTTTTTTTATCAAAATTAAATACACGAGAAAGTTTCTTCTCATTCTTTATACATGTATTTAAAATTTTTTAGATATAAAATTTTTGATTTACAGTATTAGTGGTACATGTATTTACGTATTACGTTGCCAAACATTAGAATAGTTTTCGTATAAAGATTCTTGGACATTTCTTGCTAATAAAAGTTTTATATTCTTTAAAATTATTCTCCACTTCGTTATTTCATTTATTATTTCTAAAATCTTAAGATTCAAAAAATTTTTCTTATACACATCGCATCAGAAATGTTGATCAATTTTAAAAAGAATGGAAGTAGATACATGTACATGTACATGTATCAACAAATTGCTATAAAAGAGCTCTAATTTTTAATAAAACTATCAACTACATGTAATAGAAGTTGTTGAGCGAGTTGATAAGCCATGAACAATTTCAACGTAGCGGCAGTTGGCAAAAAAATAAGCATTTTCCAAGATAATCAACTAGTGGAATTGATGTCTTCAGAGTTGACGCCCACAAAAAGAATAATTTTTTCTAGTTAATGATGAAGTTGGATAATCTGCTGCTTAAAAGAGATCAAATTTAGAAACTAAGGAACTCGAAACTTTAAATAATCAGAAGTTTCCGAGGGCGAATTATCATAACCCAAGGATAGAGGAATCCCGAAATTTCTAAGAGACAAACTGTCATCTTGAAGCGTCGTAAATTCTAATCCAATATCATGATAAGGGACTAAAGTTGTTTCGGAATTATTTTGTTGTCTCCGTTCCGACATATATGACTTGTAACTAGAATAATTTCTATTATTAGCACAAAACCAATAAAATTTCACTGCATAATTTTAACCAAAAAGCTAATTAAGACTCACAAAATTTCCTTTTTAATACTTTTTAACTCTTCGTATAACGGAGAAAAGACCCTAATTATTTCATCACGATAGTATTTATTTATATATGAACTGAGTTGTGATATAAAATGCTGTCTATCTCTATAAGCCAGGGTATATAAAGGACACAATTTTTCAGAACAAATCAAGTTTTTTGACACTGCGTTTGAAAAACAAGTTCTAAATAAGATATAACGGTTGGCTGGTTTTTTCTCGATATTATTACGACGTTTATTCATTAATTCATTTGTGTGAGGGTCTAAGGTAAAATTGTGTTTGCAATTATTTGAATACTTAAAAGATAGATAAATCAAATTATATTTAATAAGATAAAGACATGTATCTATTGGCATCGGAAAATGCTTCTTATTAGTTGATGTTTCATAGTGTATAGGTGTAGATGCACTGCTTGGTTCAAACTGTGAATATTCATTCATCTTGTGAAATAATAAAGGATAAGGTGAAGAACAAATAAGAAAGCAAAAGGGAAGCATCTCGTTTTATATTTATTCTGAATGGAAAAAAACAACTTTTACTTCTAAACGGAGTGTCCACAGAAAAGTAGCCAGCGACGCCATCAAAATGCAACTGTGCAATATACGTATGTGTGAAATTCTAATTCGGAAATTACACAATGCATCGGAAAAAAATTCCCGAATCTAACACTAATTTCATACATGTATCTGATATCGATACTAAGTCGGCGTTTTATACAAGTACTCCTGAGAATATAAGAAAAAATCTCTATAAACCCAGGCTTAGGCATACCTTTTAGTAGAGATGTTTGCATACTGCATGTTATCCCTAACAATCAGTTTCTATTTAAATTAATCATTATATTGAGGAATCTATCTATGCTGAACAAAGCACTTTTTGAATGTATAAAAAAGGAAAAGCCAAAATACCAAATATGCTCTATTTGTATTGTTAGAGATAAATATTTTTTGCAATAGACCAGGAAATTATAGCTGATATGCTAATTTGTCATTTTTGTTTCCAACTAGAAATAAGTTCAACGGGTCCAGATTATAAATAATAGCATACACAAGTTAAAAAAGTCAAAAAATCGACAACTTCGATGCCTAACTTTATAATGTTATTATCACTCAATAAACTAAAGAAAGCAATTAGTTAATACCGAAAAAAACTTTATTTGTCTTACGTTACACTATTCTTAACGTTAAGGAATAATTAAAACAGTATTATCGTTATCGTTATCGTTATATTTTAAAATCCGAATTTACTGCGTTATCACAAGATAAAATCGCATTTAGCTTAAATTGTTACAAAATAATTGTTGTTATCGTTATCGTTATCGTTATTGACTAACGCGATATCGATATGTGTAATACAAAATTTAGTACCCTAGCCATGGCCAAAAAGGTGTCGGGTCATAAACTGTCTTGTTACTATGTTGTATTTAGATAAATAACGTTAAGGTAATACTCCTAACCCTTTTCCAACACAGTACAGTACATGTATAATGGATGAAATAGCGGTCATAGGACATGTCATTTCTATTGTATTCATTAAGTATTAACAAAACGCATAATGTGTACGTAGTTACACTTATCGTTATGTGTAGAAAATCAAATTTTCGCTCTTTAACATACAAATTAACCTATCTCTTAGTATTAATAGGAATTAAATTTCAAGTTTTCTACTTTTTATTCATCTAATTACTACCATTATAGCTACAATATTTTAAAAACCATCTTTTTCATAATCAATGCCTAATTCAGATTTTTTATTCACGATCAGTGGACATTCCACCCCTGTAAGGAGTTGTTTTTCTAAAAAAAAATGAAGTTTCTCAGGTAAGCTATTCTTCAAAAGATGTAAAAGGTTGTTTTAAAGTAATGTGACAATTAGAATCTTGGATCTCAGTCCATTTTACAGTGCTCGTCAGAAGTAACGTACTCCCTTAACTTTCCATAGATCATGTGTAATGTACCAAAATTTTCCGAGCACAAAGAACATTACAAATGCTGATCGTTGATACCTTTTATCGTTATAGATTGGTAAAGCTTCTATATTGGGTGTTGTATGTTCACGTCCTAAATACATACATGTATCAAAAAAAAAATGAATCTACTACTTTAAGACGCAATATTTCGACGTCCAGTGACCCGATTTGAACAAAAATAATACTGTTCGATTCGCGAATCGAATGGTAGTATTTTTGTTCAAATCGGGTCTGAATATTGAGATGTGTGTTATGATTATACTAGCAAAAATTAATCAGACAATTTAGGACGTAATATCACCTCCAGTGATTCGATTCAAACAAAATAATACCATTCGATTCGTCTTGGCTAGACAAATCGAATGGTATTATTTTTGTTCGAATCGGATCACTGGAGGTCAAGATACTATGTTCTAAATTGACCGATTCATTTTTTTGGTGATCAATTTTTTGTATTTGGGGCATGATAGAAGCTCTACCAATCTATAAAAGGTATCAACAATCAGCATTTGTAATGTTCTTTATGCTCGGAAAATTTTGGTACATTACGATTACACATGATCTATGGAAAGATAAGAGGTACGTTACTTCTGACGAGCACTGTAATTCAAAGATGACTAAATTAATTATGTTCCTATGACATACAATTATAAAAGAATACAACTACAACTTAAGAAAAAAATTTTTCACAGCTATAAGAACTACGTAGTCACAGTTACAGCTTAAATATGATTATTTATATGACTTAAATATGACTATAAATACAACTATAAATACAACTTAAATATGATTATACATGCTCAATCTCTTTTTAATAGAATTGTTAAATTTAATAATAATGGGCAAGGCTATCATTACAAATACCAATCAGAACCTGTTTCCATTCTATTCCTCAATCATTTGAAAAAATTCAGTTAATATTACACAACTTAGAGAGGAGAAAAATGATCTGGATCTGGAAAATTAAATAGATCTAGTTGCTAATGATACTTTATATTCAATTCAATTTTTATTTACTACACTTGTCTCACAAAAACAATATCAACTTTCATAATGGTTCCAAACACAAGCTCAATGAATCATTTTATTATAGAAAATAAAGATCTTTCAAGATTTTTAGAAAAAAAGTGAAATATATAAAGATCCAAATCATGAATATGTTTGTTTAGATGATAATCTCAACTATACTTATTTTGATATGTGTTCAGAAATCTCTTGTAATTTAACTGCTCCAAAATTCATACTAGTAATTTTTTGAATATAATAAAAAGAATTTTATCTTAAAAATTCTATTCAAGTCTATACAAAATCAGAATCAAATAGTAGTAAATAGCAATAACTTGAATAATATTAATATTAATTGGCTTGATTCAGAAGTAAATCTGGTTTCAGAAATTGAATTTGTTAATAATAATAATATAACTAATTTTAGAAATAATAATAAGTTAAATATAGAAAGTATTAATTTAAATAAAATTAATAGATATTCAAAATAATATATTATTTTAAATATTAAAAAAAGAAAATATAATATTGTTAAATTCAAAAATTAAATCATGATTTAGTCTTTAATTAAAAAAAATAATTGATATATGCTTTTCATTCTTTAATTTAATTCAAATAAATTATATAAATATAAATATAATTTAAAGTAACAGATTTTGATCAAAAAATTATTAATATACAAATATTTTTTTAATAAAAAATAAAAGATATAAAATATATTTATAAATAATATTAAAATAAAATATATATTTATTATATATAAATTTAAAAAATTGTTTTATATTTAATAAAAATTCTTCAACAAAAAAAATTACAAATAATATATAATAATATTTTATATAAAAATAATTATTTTTATCAAAAATCAGAAAGAAAAAAATATATTTATTAAAAATAATAAAAAAATAATTACTCAATATAATAAGTTTTATGAATAATAATATAAACTAATTATATTACAAATAATAATAAAAGTATTTGCTAATATAAATATATTTAAAAAAAAATAAAATTCTTTCAATTAAATTAATAATAATAATAATAATAATAATAATAATAATAATAATAATAATAATAATAATAATAATAATAATAATAATA